TTAAAACAATTGTTTTAAGCAATTGTTTAAAAATGTCTGAATTGATAGGATCAAATCATTTCAGATTCAGGAAGGACTTTAATATTAGGGGACATTAGAAGTTCCTAAGCAAATGTTAAGGATCTCTGTATCTTATTTGTGGATTAATAAATTGAGATATTAAATCCTACCAAGGCTCTTTAGAAACTGTACACAGTGCTTTCTCATTGCGCCAGTTGTTCTGTATTATATTTTAAGTAGAGACGATCCAATGCACAATAAAAGCTCTTTTACACTCAAATTTTCAAGCAAAGACATTCGAAGTGATGGAGCATTTTTAGTAGGGATGTCCTGATCCGAATATAATATCTGATATCGGTTCGATATTAACTAAAAACTAATAAAAACCTCAGTTAATATTACATGGGTCAGTTTTTCTCACACCTATTATTGTTGATTTTAGTTCTCAGTTTTACTAACATCACTCGATCAAACATTTTTTAAAACCCAACAGTATCAAATAAATCATAAGACCATGTTTGATTCATGTTGATATTGTATCGGAGCATTATCTGCATCAGCCAGTCCTTAAAGTTGTAATAATGGTATCATGCCGGAAATTAAATAGTTGTATCGAGGCACCCCTATTCTTTAGCATTCGCATCAGAATGTCTGTATCACTACTGATCTGTGCTGGAAACACAATCTGTACCTTTAGCTCATATAAGCATGTACAACAGGTCGCCATTAAATAATGTCACTACGTAAACAAAAGTACTTATTTATATCCTTAAAGGATTAAAGTATACTAAATAGTATAAATTATTACTAATAACTTTGCTAAGAGAATTGAAGCATTTACCTTCTTGATGTTATGTTGCTGGTTTGACGTTATCATCATTAAGCTCAGTTGATGGCGACCCAAGTGTATTTTTTGGTTGCATTATTGAGCTGATGGTTCAGATAAGCACAGGTCAGGTAGTGACAGTCTGTTTTTTTTTTTTTTAAAGTTATCATTTTGAAATATTTCAATATTTCAGGATAACTCAACAGCCATTTCCTTTCTTACTTCCGAATAAAATTCTTGAACATACAAAAATATTGTTTTAGACCAAAACCAGAGAACTATATCTAGAGATCATAATGATCCTTCACTTCACAAGAAGAGGCCTGATATTATAAGGCCTTTAATTAGACACACTTTAATTATTAATTGCAATAATGTCTTTAAAGGACTGATTAAAGAACAAGGTACATTTACACCTGTTGGATCTTATATATTCCATTTCAAAGAACATTAAGATAAGATGGAAAGATAATTCATTTTGATCTAAACAAGTACCATCCAGAATTTGTATTTGTAGAGCAGTCTCTCTTTAAATAGACTGAAAAAATAAAATAAAATAATAAAATCCAGTTTGCCTTGAATCAACTACTTCGCTTTTGCTGTGATTTGTGTCTCATCTATGATGTGCGCTGAACATAATGTCATAGACAGGAAGGTTTTTTATTGGAGGAAAATAGTTTGAAGATATTTTCATTGAGAAAAGCAAGAGCTTCTTCCTGTGTGGTTTTATTGCTCCCCCTACTGGCCATTTGTGTTTCTTCAGTTATAATTTAACTCTAATTCTTCCTATAATAGCATTGGTATTTACATTATACACAAAGCTTTTTGTTATTACTGCGTCTTTATAACCGACCTTGTGTTTCACTATAGATTCAAATTATTTTAAAGTATCGGTCATAATAGAAAAAAGTGACTTATCTGTAAAATGCATCTGTTGTTTGGATCAGCAGTTAATAGATTGTTGCAACTGAATAAAACATTCTTTGTGCCTAGCTCATTTTCTGCATTAAAAGTGAATCTTTTTACTCTGTTTTTTACAGGCTATCCAGGTTTCCAGACTACTACCTACACCAGCCGCAGTTACTCTGGATTAGCACCTGGATACACTTACCAGTTTCCAGGTACGTTGTTTTTATGTTTTTCATGCCTGGCTCTTTGTGACTCTTCGAACAGGAAGGCGTCTAAACGCATACGATAAAAACGCTGATGTACAGAGGTCTTGTTTTGCTCTCTGGATTTTGTTTCTGCACATACATTCATGACCAAATCTGACCCAAAATTGATTTCTCTTTCCATTCGTTGGTCAGAAGCTTCACTTTTTTCCCTTAAACCCACATTAACGTTGTTAATTTTTTTCCTTTAAATTTCCACATTTGTTTACTTCTTTGCTCTTTGATGATTCTGTTTATTTAAGCTGCTTATATAACTCCCTTTCATTTAGACCGTATGGCTCCTCCTCTTCCTTTTGCTCCTGACTTCCTGCCGTCTTTAAAGGATTTTTTTCCTTTTTTTTTTGTTCTTGCTATACTTGTGTGCTATACTTGTCCCCTATCTTGCCGTTTTGTGTGTCTGGGGCTTTGTAGTTTGTCTTGTGGATGGTGACTGTATTTTTAAAGCGCTCTCTCATTTTTCTCTTGACCTTCTCTGTTTCTAGAATTCCACTTAGAGCGGACCCCCCTTCTGACATCATCCCACCCCCCTGAGCTGGCAGGTCAGTGCCTCCTTTCTCTTCTAAAGGCCAAAAGAGCGGAAAAAAACAAACATTTTGAAGCAAAACGTCACACTGAACTGTTTGAGATTAAAGTCTCTGGTCTTGAATAGAGATGAAGTATTTATAAATGGAGATGCACCAATAAGAGATTATTGAACAGGTTCTGATCACTAATTTTTGTAAAACGTTGACCTATAGTGACCTCATTAAGCAGATTTTGATATTATTGGTATTCAGAAAAATGTATTTTAATTCATCTTAATTAATTATCTATATTAACAGAAGAGTTAACATAACACGTTGTGTGTATGAAGGAGAGCAGTATCTGTACAGAAAAATGTCTGTTTAAAAACAAAATGATTTAGACATTACCTTTTAAAGCAACAACAAAAAAAAAATCACTGCCTAGCTCCACATGTGGGTCTAAATATGTTGTGATTTAGACTTAGACTCAAGTTTATTTATCCATTGGGGTTACTCCTTCAGAGAAATTCTGCTTATGTAGAGTACAACGAGTTAAAGCAAGCTGCCATTAAAGATAAAAATACGACAGACGATATAAAAAGTGTATATAGTACCAAAGAAAAAGCATTAAAAAAAGAAAAAAAACCAAGTTATAATGTCTTGGAATATGTTTCACTTAGATATAAAAATATCTGCACAGTAGAGAGCTAAGGGAAGAGTACAAAGTAGTTGACTTGGGTTATTGCATTTGCACTGCAGAAATGTACTGACCTTAGAGATAAGTAAGAAAATTACACAGTTTACTCAGTAGTTGGCACGTGTTATTGCACAGTGAGAGAGAAGAATATTGCAAATGAGTGACAATAGGCACTGTTTTGCATAAGATTTCCAAGGAGGGGGGTGCTGGCCCTTGATTTACCTTTTTTTTTTTTTTTACCATAACTTAAAAATAGTTTTTTGTGAGACGTAAAAATCTAATAATCACTCCAAATATTATATATATTTTTTTATATTTTTCATCCAGCCAAGTTGTTTTTTTTTTCTCATCATATTGCATTTGATGGGTGTAAATTTAGACAATGCCACACTGTGCCACTGACTCAAAGTTTTTACCATCGATACAATGTAACCTGTTAAAACAAACAAATGTAATAAGCTTGTATTCTATTGTTTACTGTACTAGCAGGAGCTAAGACCATTAGCATAAGCTAAACTTCATATCAAAATCAAACTGGAAGATAACCACTTTTTAAAGTGAAGCATATTTCTGTTGCTGCAGCACATTGTTTTAATATATCTGAGAAAAAGTTTTATTCCAATGCTAACCATAAACAGCCCCTGTTATAAACTGGAGAATCTAGGTTAGCATCTCCTAGCAGCAGCACAAACACCAGCTTCTTCAGACAACTCTCCCCTCTTCCTTCGTTTATTCCTCCTCACTGTCTTCATTATTGCCAGTGCTTTCTATACCGTCATCAATTTCAGTTTGTTCAAACTGGAAAGGTTTAATGATACTCATTGTTTTGTAGGCCAGCGCTACAGGACCGAGCTTACGTTGTTTACCCAGAACTCCTTGCAGTTTAAACAACAGGGAAAAGTCTGTGCTAGAATATATATACTTTTTTACTTTATTAAAAGTAAAAAAAAGTAAAAAAAAATCAGAAATAAAGTCTATTGTTACAACTAATTTTGGACTCTTTAGGGTTTAAAGGCTTAGAATAATAACTATATGGAGCCATGGTTTCATAAACTTTAAGAACCATGTAGAGCTATGATGGTTCATGAGCTAACATTGTTTTCTTAATTATTTGAAGGCAGTGGACTTTATTTGGTTACCTTTGATAGTACACTGAAAAAAAAAATAATGCGACCACTTAAGACATTTACTTAATCATATTAAGTTACTTTAACTAGGGTTGCGCCGATGCCATTTTTTGGCCCTGATACCTGGCTGTGCAATATCAGCCAATATCGATACCATTTGTTTGAAATTGACGTGTGTGTGTATATATGAAGAACTGCATACTATTTGGATGTAAAATAATTGCCATCATGGCATTTTTTCAAGCTGCTGCCTACCTTTGTGAAGCAGGAATAAGACTAATACAAAGTAAATCCAGTAGAAGTTTTTATTGCCTATCTGGAATAGGTGACAATAGTTGAATAAACTGTCAAAATGGTATCGGTGCCCTATTTGTTGGTACTCACCGATACAGGTACCACTATTTTAGTGCTGGATCAGGGTCCAGTCCGATACTGGTACCAGTATCGGTGCAACACTAACTTTAACACAACTGTTTTATGTCCTACCCTGATAACATGAAGCAATTGTGTTAAAGTAACTAAATATGTTCGATTCCTGTCCCAGGTTCTTTATGCATGGAGTTTGCATGTTCTCCCTGAGCATGCGTGGGTTCTCTCCGGGTGCTCCGGCTTCCTCCCACAGTCCAAAAACATGACTGTTATGTTAATTGGCTTCTCTAAATTGTCCTTAGGTGACAATTGACTGCTGGAGGCACCTGCACCCCTCGCGACCCCACTCGGGACAAGCGTGTCAGATAACTAAATATGATTAAGTAAATGCCAAAACCGGTTGCATTATTTTTTTCAGTGTAGGGAGAAAGAACTGGGATTAAACAGAGGAGGGAGACATGCAGCATACCAGGGTGGTACATGAACCAGAACCAACGCCTCATTGCAGGGTTCGGCGCATCCCCTGGCAGCCTGCATTTGTTGAGAAAGCATGCTAATAATTTATTTTCTCAGTATATTGCACTTTCAAATACCATACCATGCCATATAGAATGGTTTATTAAACATATTGAGAGGTTTAAATCAGATATTTTTATATTACACAACCTTTATATAGCCATATTGAAATTTAAGCCAGTGCCTGGCACGAAACCTCTACTTTTGGGGAATTTATGTTTTCTGATCTGAAAACTTGAAACTTTTAACCTTTGAGTAAAAATGTGATGCATAATTTAATTTATTTCCATTTTTGTGATGCAGCACATAAATCTCGGAAGATTTGCAGGTGGTTATTAAAAGTTAGAGAATGACTGCCCTAAAGGACATTTCCAATCCCTAAATGTTTCATGACAGGCAGAGGCTAAAATCTGGAAAGAATAAAATACATTCAGCCTTTTCTGCTATCTGGGTCACTTTGCTCCTTCAACAGATTTGGGAAACAACCTTACTGCGGTTAAAAATTAATGTACTGTGGCAAAGTTTGTTTTTTCTATCTGAAAAGGTGAAAACCCAAAACTGCTCTTAAAATAGTGAAGAAGCTCAAAGATCAACACTTGTCAAAATCCCCTGTAGCTCTTTGATGCAGCAGCCTTGGTCAGTGGTCAACTAACAATTTATAACATAAGAAGGGTTTTTTTTTTTTTTTTTATCTTGCTTGTAGTATGAAAATTTTTTTCCAAAAGTCTTCATGCTTAATACACCGTCACTATATAAAATACATATAAAAGCAGCTAAAGATGCATTATGGAGTTCTCTAATGATGCTGCGACCTGGAGCAGAGGAAGGGGCCTACCGTGGAACATTTTACTGTTTAGTTTTGTAAATATTTGTACTTAAAATAAAAAATGTCTTAAATGACTCATAATTTGAATAAGAAGTATTTCTTAAAATAAACCAAAATGAGTGGAAAAGGAGCGAATGTTTAAACTGAAAATGTAAACACACTATACACTCTTGACCAAACTTTTAGCTTGTGGGTTTATGTTTTAAAGAAATTGATTTCTAGAAAGAAAAAGGACCCTTTACTCTTGAGTAGAGATGCACGATTTATTGGTATTTATCTGTATTGGCAGATATTCCACTTAGTTTATTTATATATGTCAGAAACAATGGAAAAAAATGATATTAGTAAATGTCCAGTTTAGGCCAGAACAACAATATGAATATCAGAAAATCCATATCATCCAAAATTTGTATATCTTTGCATCCATAGCCCTAGGCTATTTTAATGGACATACTGATGTTACAAATATATATTGTATATCTAACTCTTAAAAGCTCCGTTGCTGATTTGGTTCTGTTCTCGTTCAGTTTAATCCTTCATGCCAGAGAAGCTGTCAGAACAAACGTCTCGCAGCGTTAGTGCAGCTTCTTAGAAAAGGTCTTCATAGACCTCCCAATTTCATTTTACAACCATGAACTGTAATGCAAAAGTCTAAACATGTTGGAAATCTAACACCAACACGTCAAGTTCAAGGCAGAGTCGTTGATTTGTAGATTAAATAGGGACAGCGGCCGAAACCGGGTTTTCAGTGTGTCTGCCTACTGTGTTTTAGATGGAAAGCACCTAAAGCAGAGGTTATGATCTGATTAATTATGCTGAATAACATTTTATGCCGGGGGAGTTAAAGGGACAGTAACGAGTAAAAGCTACCTGAATATGATTATGTAACTGCAGGACCGGCCTCTGTGGCACAGATTGCGCTTGAGCAGCATAGGTTTTAAGTCCTGGGGATACAACAGCACTGCTTCTCTAACACTAAAGAGGATTTAATTTATTACATAAATGCCAGTTAGAGGGAGTTTTTTATTTTTATGCCCTCTCCTGGTACAGCAGAGCAGCAGGCACCGTTAGTTTGGGTTATTTTATAAATATGACCCACATCTGCGAGCATGTCGTTTGCAGCTGTACTTCAGGTTCAAAACTCCTGAGCCCGACATGTGACTCGTAGCGTTTTTTTCTTATCCTAGATAACTCAGAGCCAGATGCTTCTCTATGTTGCCCTCCTGCATCTAGCAGTTGGATTGAAATGACGTGACAGATGTGTGAGCAGATGTAGATTCAGCCACACTGAGCTGTAGATTATTGCTTTATGATCTGATATCAGAGCGGATCCACAATGAGGCGTTTAACGTGGCTTCTTATGTAATCCTCAGCCATTCCACTCACTGCATACGGTCCAATGGCAGCAGCTGCAGCAGCAGTAGTCAGAGGTACGTCTGTGACTTCCAGTGTGTTTTATATTTGTACGCAATGTTTGCACGGGCTCGCTTGAACAAATAAAAAGCATATTTTTAGAAGCATGTGTGTGTGTGTGAAGCCCTCTGGTGTCCAAGCTTGACTCGTCTCCTCTGCCTCTCAGGCTCCACCCCATCACGCACAGCTGGCTTCCTGGGCACCAGCAGCCCCGGACCAATGGCTGACCTGTACGCCGCAGCCAACCAAGACTCAGGAGTCAGCACCTACATCAGTGCCGCCAGCCCCGCCCCCAGCACAGGGTTCGGACATGGTCTAGGGGTAGGTCACGCCTGTTACATTCAGAAACATGCAAGGCTGCACATATGTACTCACAAAGAGTGCATTCATTGTTGCCACTGTGTCCTCAGGGTCCTCTGATTGCCACTGCGTTCACTAATGGCTACCACTGAAGAGGCTCAGGTCACAGAGGATCGGAGGGCTCCTCCTCTGTCTGCTGTTGTGCTAATCAGAATGCTGACTGCCCTTTGACGGCACAATCTGATTGGCTGGCCGCGGGCTCTCCTGGCACCACGTGGCTCCACCCACCGACTGAAGATCTTTTTAAAACCAGAACCCTTGTTTCTCTGTACTAATCTCACTTCGACGTAACGTCCCCGGTTCTTCTAGTTTTTTTTTTCTTTTCTTTTGTACTCATGTCCTCAAACTAGTCCCTCGACAACCCCGACATCCTTCCTCGGTCATCCTTTTGTTTCCTCTATTGAGGCTGAGAGGAGAAAACTGCAGGAAAATTGTATGAAAAGCCGTCGGAGGAAGAGGACGAACTGTTTTGAATTTTATTTTTTTTTTCTAAATGATTTTATTATAATGTGATGTGTTATTTTATCATGAAATCTTTCAAAGCTGTTACTGATGTGGTAAAAACAAACAAAATATGTGAGGTGGGGGCATTTTTAACAAAGGAAGAACAAACCCAACAAAAGTCCTTTTTTACGCTGCAACTGTCACTGAAAACAGAAGAAGAAGAAAAAATGTATATTTTGGTAGTCTTTAAAAACAAAAAACCTTTGTAATATTGTTATTAATATTGACATAATAATGATAATCTGTAAGGTATTTTATTCTTTAATTGGTTTTAAAGCAATGTTTTTATGTCTTCCTGTAAGATATTGTATATAAAGGTGGGGTGGGATGGAGGGGATTCTCATTGGTTGGTTTTTGACTGGATGTCATATGCTACTGTCTCCAAGCATCTCACTACTTTAACAGTATGCATATGGTTAGATGTGCACACTGTGGGCCAGTCCGCTTTTGTGTCACTTCTGTGCATTGCTGAAACGTGCATTTTAGGAGTTTGTCAGGTGAAATATGCTCCAATAATCGACCAAATCTTATTTTTTCCTTCACTTTAAGAGTGAGCGTTTGACTCTTGAATGACCATGCAACTGAAGTTAAACAAAGTGGACTTATGGAAGAAAAATTAGCTTAAAATGAGAAGATGAAACATGAATACATTTCCAGGATCTTCTGTGGCCTATTTTCTCTGTATATAACAATCAATTAGCTTTTTTCTTTTTCTTTTTTTTTTGTTTTGCTATACCTCCTACAAAATGCTAGAAGGACTCGGTGTAAGGATGAATTCTAACAAAGAAGGAGAAAATCCGTTTGAATCGTTTGCTTTCTAGCTGACACATTTATCCATTTTACTCAAAAGTCATCCCCTTTTTAATTGCTTTACTCCTTCAGAATTGCCAGCTGGACTTCTGCATCTTCATGTAGCACATTTGAGAAAAAAATAGATCAGTTGTCAACTTCAACTTATGGAGGACAAACTATCTTAAAGCTGTGGAAGATTATTTAGTACAATTTAAGGAGCTTTTTAGGCTTATTTGGACATTTGATAAAGTCATCCTTTTTTATTATTACTTCCTTAAAAATGCTACTTTAACTCTTACATCTTCATGCTGCCCATTTCAGATAAACACCACAGACTAGTGTTGTAGTCAAGTCAGCCACACCAACCGAGACCAAGGAATACCGAGACAAGGCCAAGACCTTTAGAGACCAAGACCATATAAGGTCTTGGTCTCTAAAGGTCTAAGCCTTTTCTCCGTCTTTGTTGTTGTGGTTTTCACTGCAAGACTCTTCTAACAACCTTAAACCAGAAATGAGGGATTTGGGTTTTGCTTGACTTCCTCTTTTTTTTTGAAAATATTATATATATATATATATTTTTTTTTTTTGAGCGGTTCTCTTAATGTTTCTGTTTTATTGTTCTCTTATTAAAATAAATGATTCTTTTATGCGGTGCTGTCCACCGTGAAGACAAATGAAGGACTCTCAGAGAACGCCGTTGTGAAAAAAAGATGAGAAAAAAAAATCACAATCCTGTTCTGTCCTCTTATCACTGTTCGAAGGTGCATGTGGCTGCGTCTGAGCGTGTGTGAGTCCGTGTTTGTGCGCATACATCCAGAGTGTAATATGGAACTACTTCTGGCAGCGGAGGATCATTTTAATTGCCTTTTTTCTTTGGTACTAAAAAAAAAAAAAAAGAACACCCTGTTTCATTTGTGGTTGGCCTCCATTTCTCGCCCAACCTTCTCCCAAATATGTGCTTCTCTGAAACCAACATATTAATTTTAATGTTTCTGCTCCATGTGGAGGTGGAAAGGCGGAGGCATGGCAGGGATCAGAAATGAAACAGGGTGACGTTCCCAGTCGGTTCTGATACAGGGGTTCACTATGAGACGCCGCTGGCTGGCAGGAGAAGCAGGAAGAGTTTTGCAAAAACAAAAAACAAGTTGCCTGCCTGTTTAGCCTCTTCTCTGCCACAGGAAGCCAGCAGTTCATCTGTCAGACAGGCTGGGACATGGTTTTAAAAAAATAAATAGAAACTACTGCTGGACACCAACACTGTAACTTTTTAAACGTACAATAAAGCAATAAGTTATTTTTTACCTTACAAATGAAAATAGTACTATTATTGGTAATAGCAGACAAGAAGTGGGAAATTCTGCGGCATTAAGACTTATTTTCTGGGAAGAAAAGAACTATATTTTTCTGTTTTGAGATGTTTTTCCCCCTTGTATGTTGCTTTTACAGATGCCTTTTTGTTTTGGTGATGTATGGAAATAGGCCAATATTTGGAGTGGAGCTCCATGTGGGCTCGGGTAAAGATTCTGACTGTCCCTCGCCAAGCTTTCCTTTTTTATTTTTGTTTTCTGAATATTTCAATTTGAAGTTCCTAATAAATTATTCTAAAGCAGTTTGTAATAGTATTTTTGATCAAAGATATGACTGTGCTTTGGATCATTTGGTTATGGGGAATCAATTTGAGCATCAAGAGTTTCAAAATGCCCCAAATATATTCGTCCTAATGAAAATGTAAAAAAAAAAAAAAAACATAAAATAAATATTTCATTGCTGTGGCATCATTTCACATTTGAATTAATAGATACATTTATATTGCACTTTTAAAAGAAGTTAACGTTAAAGATGCACAACAAGTTTCTATAGAAGGTTCTGTAACTACTCTAGAGGCTCTTGAAATTATTTTAAAAAGAGAAATTATTACCATGAAGAAAAGTATAGAAAAAAGTGAATGTCTTCATCAGACTGATGTAAAAAACAGAGAGTCTTCAGTCAGGCCTCTCTAGAGTCGCTGTAGAACAGACTGCTGCAGGAGATCCTTCCTCCTACAGCCATGTTTCTTCAACATCTCTTACACTGGAAAAATGATCTAGAAATAAGTAAAGATGTCTTAAATTAATTGTATTTTCCCTTAATTTGAGTAGGTAAATGAGATAGTTTGCCAATGGAATGAGTATTTTTACTCTGATAATTAAGATAATTAGATAATATGCACTTGAAATTAAACAATGCTATTCTGTTTTCTTATTCTAAGTGTAAATTGCCCTGTTCCATTGGCAAGATGTCTCTTTTACTACCTTAATCCAAGAGCAAATGCACTTATTTTAAGGAAAAAATGACTCGTCTAGATTTTGATTTTTTTCCAGTGTAAAAGAAACCCCATATAAGGATTACAAAAAACATTTTATATCCATTTGGGAGAAATTAAGTCAATCTGAATTGTGTTTTCAGAAATGTAAATACTAACTTATAAAACTCTTGTTTTTAATAGAATATAACATTGAGGCTCATTTCCTGCAGCCGCCCTTTAAAATAGGAAAGAAAAGAGATCCCCTAAGCTAAGGCTGATTTTTTTTAGTTTTGTAAGTCAGGAAAATACTTCACGAGGAACTCTCGTGAAGTTATTTCCTCCCCAAAAATCACCCACATCTTCTGTCAGACCCCTTAAAAAATACAAAAATAGCTCCAGCTGTGAGGAGTTCATCCTCCCACCACCAGTAATATGGAATAATAGGTATATTTAGGTATATTTATCTATACTTTACTGGATTTTTTAAACACCTTTTAATGTTCACTTCTTTTATTTTATTTTATTTTTTTGCAATTTTCTCTACTTTCTACTCCTTACATTTTAAAAATAAACTTGTTAGTTTTTTTTTATTTAAGCAGATTTTTATTATTGGTTTGTTGGCATTTAAAAAAAAATGCTGTTAAAATTGACACTTTCACTATTAGTTTACTACTTTAGTAAAAAGCTTGAGTGGATACTCCAGCTGCACAGTGAAGTAGTGGGTAGCACTGCTGCCTTGCAGCCTGAATGTCTGGGTTCGATTCCCGGCCTGGGGTCTTTCTGTATGGAGTTTGCATGTTCTCCCTGTGCATATGTGGGTTCTCTCCAGGTACTAAAGCTTCCTCTGACAGCCCAAAAACATGATTTTTAGGTTAATCAGCTTCTCTAAATTCTCCTTAGAAGTGAGTGTGTGAATGGTTGTTTGTCTCTGCGATGGACTGGCGACGTGTTCAGGGTGTACCCCACCTATCGACAGTAGCATTTATACCTTTACTTGAGTAATAAAAATTGAGACCTCTGCTAAAGATAGAGGATGGCACTTTAGACAGAGATCATTTATTAAAAATCCAACTCAGTCACTGTAAAGTAAGGTTGAATGGTCTATAATGTTGTGGGATGTTTTGTTTCTCCCCCATTTGACAAAGAGGACTTTTTTCTTTTTTTAAAGTAGTGACATTGATAAGACTAATAGCTTCAGGAAAAAAATAAAACATCAATGTTAACAACAGCAAAGTTTGACTTTTGCTCAACAATTCTTTTTTTCCCCTCTTCATGATTGTTGGGAGGATCTACATAGAAAACTAGAAAAGTCCAGGTCTACAAATTAAATCTCTGCAGGTGGTGGCATTTGGTGAAAAATGAAAGCACATAAATCCATACAGAAAAGAGTTTTTTTTTTTTTTTTTCGGGCAACAAACTGTTTAAATTTACCCTAACATGAAAGATTTTTTAAACCAGTTAGTGGAGCTCGTAGTGCACTCTGTGGGGTACCAGATCCCCCCTACATATGAAGAGCTGGACAGAGGCCAGCAGGGTCACAGATCCTCTTTCGCCTCTCTCCTTTTACCATCTGCCTACAAACACAAGAACCCACAGAAGTGAAACGGAATGGCTTCCAAAGAATAACTTCTTTTAGTTTCTGGATAAACTTTGGACTTCAGCTCCTCCAGCTTCCTTCTTTTGTATTCACTGCGTTTTGGAATTGTTTTAATCAGTTTTATTTGGGTTGTAATTGTTTTCATACCGTGTTTCTTTGGAACGTCAATGGCAGTCGGTGTGCTAGATTCACAAACCAAAAGCTCCTTAAGCGGGAGCACTTTTTTTTATTTAGAGGAGCAGGAACCTCCACCTCCCCTCCGGAGCTACCTTTATGTGACCATGTTGGCGTGCTTCTGTCCAGCATGTCCCGTAAACATCGTGGCCCTGGTCTTCTCTGTCATGGTATGTATGGACTACACAGATAAACTAGGCTGGATTTTACTACCGGTAAATTCTTTGGCCATTGAGAAATAACCAGAAACAAGCTGAAGGAAATGGTGTTTTGAAACTGTGCGGTGACACTGCCCTTTGACCTGTGAGTGAATGTGATGAACCCTGCCTCATAGACAACTGCATCTTCTATTTTTATCCTCTGTTTTGGAAAATGAGAAAGGACTGATTCTGAAGACGGCAGAATTTGAATCTGCCAAAGCAGAGTGTCCAGGGATAAAACACTGATATATTTCTCACATTTTGCCACTTTACAAGCAAAATCCTTGCACCTTATTTTGTTTTTTCTTGTGATTTTTCCCTGCTCTTTAAGATTTTTCTTTTAAATCACTACATGAAAGGCATCCTAGTGTATATCGTCTGGTTTATGCTGATTAAATCCATTCATTGAGACAGGGTGGCAGGACGGATCAGCAGTCCAGGGCGGTCTCTGGGCACTTGGGCAGCACAGTACAATCCTACACTCACACACTCATACTGAAGGGCAATCTAGAGCAGAGGTTACTGAACTGTTCAGTTTCAGACTCACAATACGGTCCACTCATGACCCAAACTATTGGTCGAATAAAAAATATTAACCGCAGGTGTAAAAACATTACATGCAACATCAACAACAAAAGTAGCTTTTTTCATTTTAAGAGATGATTTTATATCTCTTAACATAATGACATAAATTGTTGTTTAGCTTGATTTCTGTATGTGTGTATCTCAACACCACAAACTTGTTGAGCAAGGACGCAAAGTGGGGTCTACTATCTAAAGCCAGGCATACACTGTATGATTTTTTTCCCTTTTCGGGCTTCTCCAGTCGCACGAGAATTTTTCGATGGGGCGGAGTTTCACCCTAATCGTGTGTCCTGCTTCGTGCAGTGTACACGGGGTAACATGGGGAGATAAGCCTCTCACGACCATCTCCAGATCAGGAATCGCAAGATTAAGGAGAAAAATGAAACATGTTTGAAATTCAGTCTTCCATCGTAAGGTTGCATCAGAGCGTTGGGCCGCACAGTGTGAAAACATACATCATGAGCTGTGAACTTTTAAACCCTGCAGTTTTTTTGTACAGTTTGATATTTTCAAAATAGTTATAGAAAATCCAACCAGGTGTTATTTCATCTCAATATATGTCCAAGATTATTCTTTATAGGATATTATTTAGAGAAGCAGGATCACAAAGACCACAATGAAAAAAACCTAAAACTGTAAAAGCATTGTTATGTTCTAAAACAATGCTCTAAACATCTGTCAACTGTTCAATACATCATCCTGAAAATAGGATAAACATATGTAACAAGACATGTCCTTACTTCCAAACGGACAGGGCAGGCAAAACGAACTGTCATCGGAGAGTCAAACAGGGTGGTTACTATGGAGAAGCTACAGAGATCCATTGTAGGGGAGTTGTGGCCTAGTGGAATCCAGAGGTTCTGTGTTTAAGCCCCACTCCCACGGACTGCCACTCTGGGTCTCTGAGCAAGACCTTTCACCCCACTCTGTTCCCTGAGAACTGCACAATGCCTACTGCTCCCAAAGGGCATGGGTTAAATGCAGAGAGTGAATTTTGTTGCTTTATACTAGCGACAGTGTAATGAGAATGAAAAAGCTGATGGGTAAATGGATTTAGGTTAAATACAGAAGATATTGCCACAAAACCATGACAGACCTTTGCTTAGAATCTAAGCTGGCAACGCATGGAGACCCTTTTAAAGTTATAGGTTGTGATGTATTCATTATTTCATTATTGAAATGGTCCTCAACTAATTTGGTGATCAAATCATCATTATAACAGTAATTAAGACAAAATTACTTACAAATACTAATTATAAATATTTATAAGCATCAAATAAAAACATATATATTGAATTCAATTCAAAAATACTTTAATAATCCCAAAGGGAAATTAAATAAATATATATATATTTATATAATACACATGCATTTATATCTAAATTATTTTTATTTATATCTTTCTTTAGAATGCCCAAATGAAGGTTAAAACCATCTATAGGTGCAGCAGTAATTACTTGGCTTACAGACATTTTTAAAGAAGTAATTGTCAATCGAAGACAGAAATTCAAAGGCTAGAAAAGCACAACCTGTTCACAATGCTAGATTTAATCTACTTCTATCTTTTATTTTCCCAGTCTAGAAACAGTTATTATCGTGGTGACTATGACGGCTCCAGGAGGCTGGGCAGGAACGCTTTGTACGTCTCCATCGCTTCAGTCATCATCGGCCTTCTCGTCATCGCCATCACCTGCATTGTTCACTTCACCACAGTAAGTCAGAGAGCTCCGTCGCTCTGCACATTTCATTCCCATATCTACAGACGGTGACACTGAGCGACATAAATGTTGTAACATGTCGTGTTTGTGCCTGAGAATCACTGCATCTATAATGTGCCTCTACATGTCTGACACAGACTCTCTTTGATGTTTGAGGCCATGTTTTTTCTTTCAGATGGATCTTTAGCTGTGAAAGGAAGGGGGAAACAATATGAGACAATGGAATAAAAACCTCTGGACGGTTTTATCTGGACTGGCCGTTATTTACCCACACCCATTGAGAGGATATGACTCATTTTGTCAATATAAATGTGATTTATTTCTGCACTAGATATCACAGATGCTTAAAAGCAACAGAAATCCATTGATTTTAGTTTGCACGAGGCCAAGACGATGGAGAATTGCTATTCAGTATAGGTAGATTAATTTTTTTTTTTGCAGCCATTTCTTGACTCAAACAGATAAAATATGTAACTTCTAATGAAACGTAATGATTTTCCCTTTATTTTAAAGCATTGATACGGACCCAAAGAGAAACTAAAAGGTCACATATTACTTTTCAGATTGACATTGAAGTACATTTTCCAAAACAGTTAAGCTGATTTTCATTTATACTTTTTGTTCCCTCTTCTCCGCTGTATTTACATTAATGGTTTGATTTTTCTAAATGATGTTTTGCCCCAAATATGTAAGTCAGTGTGTTTGCGTTGATGTTGATCCTGTAGAATGTGTCAGTATTTTTATGTTTTCTTGGAAATAATAAATTCAAAAACAAAACCAATGACTTGATTTTGCCTAAATTATTTGATATAACCAAATATAAATTTTAATACAACAGAGATTACCTAACTAAACACAAAACCTTAGCATTTGTTGCAAATGAAACAAAAACCTCTGAAAAACTATGTAACCTGCCCTCCTAAAAGGCTCTTAAACCCAATAACTGATTGTGCCGCCCTTGTGGCATTTGTGATTTGTCGATTTTTTTCACCATTGTGAAAGATTTTTGCCTATTATCTGTAAAATTTACGTCATCCAGCAGACTTTAGGATTTCTGAGCATAAATACTGACATAAGAATATTCTACAACATCTTCTCTGCATTTGATTACAGACTTTGACTAGACCACAAAATCTGATGTGAGTTTTTTAGTTTTTCAGAAGTCGACTTGCTGGTGTTCTTCCCATCATTGTCCCACTGTTTGCATTACATCTGGATGTCCCAATCTGGATAAGGGTTTCCTGAAACAGTTCTATTAATTACAACAAGATGTTCAGGTCCAGATGCAGGAAAGAATCCTCAGAGCATCAGGCTACCACCACCATATTTGAGTGCAGACATGAGAAAATCCGAGACAGGTATTTGTAAAACTTTCTGGCAACTTTAATTTTAACTTTGGACTTTTCCATGAATATTATTCAAGAGTTATTGTTAATTTATTAAATTTTTATTCGACAGCTTGTTTCCCCTATTGTATATCTTTAATTTTCTGACACATTTAAAGATTACAAATGAAGCATAGACAGAAGCAATGTGACAACTGCAGGTGTTTATATCTTATTTCAGTTAGCGGCTTTATAAAAGATGACCTTATTTTCTAAATGTATTTTACATTTCTTTGTATCCTTAGTATATTTCTTTGTTTCCTTAATTGCATTTGTTTTTGTCCAGAACCTGAAGGTTTTACCCGAGGTTAAGTGAAGTAGTAATTCAACCTTGCTTTGCACAGGGAATATCCATTATTTTAGGGGTTCTCTGTAGCTGCTGAGTGGAACTCAAGTTTAAAGTGTAAAGAGTTTTTACGCAGACTGAAAATTAGAATCTGTGTTTGAAGCAACCTTTGCCAAAAAGTGGTTTCAAAGATCTGACGCTTTGAATCTTTTTGAAATATATCCAAAAGAACTCCTTTCCTCTTTTTGCTCCAGAGTTGTACAGAAAAACTACAATGCTGCTTTGATGTTCCTTTAAGAACTGAGCTTAGAGCATCTTCTGCTCCCTTAACGCCTCAGAGTGTCAGAAGTTTCGTCCTGCAGAGTTCAAACTAACAGAACACTGTAGTTCCTCTCTTTGTTGCATGTCCTGTCGTTCATGTTATGGAAGTTCAGATCTTGATTTGTCTTTTTCACATCATGGTCTATCACAGTTATATAAGAATAAAGACTTCCATTATTGTACCCTTTTCTAGTAGGGGGGTACTGGCAATATTTAAAACAAGAGATCACGACTTTGACTAGGCCATTGCAGCTGAAAGGTTAGAATTTTCTTGGCCATTCCGACGAAGATTTGCTGCTTTGTTATAGTCTCAACAGGAAAGCCTCAGTATTCTGCTCCAATAAGGCTTTAACTAGCTTCATAAAGATATAATCATCTGACAATCACCTTAAACACACATTGTTTTATTAGCTTTCCCCACAGATACCAATAGAAGAGATTTAAAAGATTTAAAAGAAAAAAAAAACTTCACCAGTCTACCAAAAACTAATTTCAATTTTCTGATGAAACAGTCTGTTGAAACACTAAGCTATTCTTAGCATGTTAAAGTGTTGCGATGGATAATTGATCATTCACATTGAAATGTGTCTTAGCAGTTCCAGCTAATAGATACAAACCAAAATTTGGCACAAATTTTTTTTTCTCCTGTTTCACATTTCTTTGTGCCTTAAACTGCTCTGTTTGTAGCTGAATACACACATTAAGTTTGGAAGTCTTAATTCAAACCACATGCAGTTAAATCCAACACTTTAAAAGTGTCCGTATTTGTCCACATTATATTAAGTTAAAATAACTTGCTTAAAACTGTAACACAGTTCACATTGTGACAGAGGTGAAACACCACTCTTAGTTCATTAGGTATATTTCAACACATTTTGTGGCTTAATCTATCTACCAATACTTAAAGATAATGTTTGACGCTATTGTCTTTAGCGCATATGTTTTAATAGAGATTTATCTCACCTGCCTTGCAAAGATAAACTGACTTTTAGCCCCTGTCCCCAGAAAAAACAGGAACTGTAGGCCAAACCTGGGTCCCTGCTTAACAGCTTGAAAATTAGCTGGAAACCACTGATTATGGTTAAAAATTCTTGGTGCCATGAAGGACTCCGACCTGAAACTTCAGAGGCACATGGCAGTTATTAAGTCAGCCTTTTATCACCTGAACGTTTCCAGTAAAGGAATTATGTCCAAACAGTATCTAGAAAAAGCATTCATGCGTTTTTCTTTTGTAGAGTTTATTAATGCAATTCTCAACTCCTTCCACTGGCTCCCTGTAGCTCTGAGAATAGATTTCAAAATCCTTCTGCTAGTCTATAGATCACTGAATTGATCAGCACCTCAATACATCACAGATTTTTTTGACAATGTATCAGCCTCCCAGACCACTCAGGTCTTCTAGTTCAACGTGGAGAAGCAGCATTTAGTTCCTATGCTCCACTTATCTGGAACAATCTCCTAAAAGACTGTAAAAGTCCTAAAAGTTCTTTGAAGTTAAAGACTGTGGGAGTTAAACCGTTAACTGAGGTATTATAGTTTAGGTTTGTGGTGCAAATGTTTTATTTGTTTTACTACCTGCTTTTTATAATGTTTTTTTTTATTTTTATTTTTACTCTGCTTTTATTTTTCTTCTGTTTTGTTTAATTCATGCAAAGCACTTTAAATTATCTTTGTACTGAATTGTGCTATTCAAATAAACGTGCCTTGCCTTAACTTGCCTTGCCCTTTCCTGTGTAAGACCGACAACTTCACGTATTAAAACGTGTTGTCTGCTGCTGTCCCTCTCTAAGCATCGCCCTGCTCCAAGAAAAAAATCACAGGATGGAATTCTGGGAGAAATCCACTCGAGGATACACCAGGATACACACTAACTCTTTGCAGGAACTAGCATAGTTGAATTAGACCAAAAAAGCATTAAAGTAACACTGTATTTTCAACACACAACAGCAACACTTGAAATCTAAAATATTTGGTTTTGTTATGCAGAGCAGCTAAGGAGACAAAGTTAAACTAGCAGCCGAAGCAGCAGTGTTACCAATTCAAATATCATTGCTTGTACATGGCTTCACAATTGTGTCTCCAGATTGTTGTCCAGGTAAATGCAAAGGTATTTCTACTCGTCAACCAGCTGCACTTCTTATCCCATGGTGTTACTTTCTTCTGAAACCTACAATCACTTCCCTTGTATTGTTGATATTGAAGATCAGATCAGATCAGATTTCCACACTATGCCACAAACTGGTTCAACATCTCCTTGTACTCAGCTTCTCTCCATCTCTGATGCACCCAGCGACCGCAGAGTCAGCCCAGTACTTCTGCCGAGGACAGTGGAAGTCAGAGGTGTACCAAGTCACATCACCAAGCTACTCCATTTTCACACTTGATAGCACCTGTGCATGCAGTTGTAAACTACATCGGAGGACAAGGGAATTTCATAGGAGAATCAAAAAGGGATAAAAAACCTTGGACGAATTATTTTATTCAATGTCGATCAAGTGACTGAAAATAGACAGTATTGATAAGACAATCAGAAAAAAAGATATTTAATACATTTTATTCAAGTTTAGTCTTTTTTATGCTTATGGTCTACATAGGAGGATGTACAACTGTTCAGTTAATAAAATAGAAAGTCCTGCCTTGAAATCACAACTTGGGGTCTTCTGCGTAGGGTTTTTATGTTCTTCCAGTGATGGAACAGGCACCAGCCTATCACACAATGGAGGGAGAAGAATTACAGACTGCTGCAAAGTGACTTTGTTTTTCTAAATGCGCTTTACATCTATTAGATGTTATTTAACACTTTCAATCCAAGTGGTTTCTTTATAAGGCTAGCTGTAAATAGATGTGTTTAGTGAAAATAAGCTTGGCAGTCCCAACAAAATTGTCTTGCATAGATGATTTATAATTCAAAAAGAAAAAGGGGGCATTTACTTCTTAATTTAGAGCCACTTTGTTTGGATGGCTTTCATTAAAGAATTTGTTTTTTCTTCTATTTATTCCTGTAATCTAAGCAAAAAAGCAGCAATACAAAAACTCTGTGAGCAGACAAAGACTTTAACTTCTTTGTAAAGAGATTACGGTAAGATAAATGGCTAATCTCAGTCTGAAATATTTCCCTTCCACTTCCCTTCCTCCATCCAGCTTGTAATGCAAACTGCCTTCCTTAGATACTTTCTTGTCACTGGATATATCAAAGTATATTACCGGCTAAAAATAGCAGATTTGTCTCCATGTTGCAGACTGCCCACTCCATCACACGGCCAAACAACACTGGCCCTACCTCAATCTGACTGAAAAAGAAGCCGAAAAAGGTAGGAACAAATAAAAGTGATGATTCAGATGAGGTTTGTAGAGCTCTGTGATCCTCTGAGTCTGTTTCATCTCATGACTCATTTCAGTTTTCTCATTGTTGTTATTT